CCACTCAGAACTTCCCCTCTGTCAGTCTGTTACTCCTTCCAGGTCCTTCTAGACAAAAGCCCCCCAGTAATGAACCACCCCCACTAAGTAAGCCTTGGCTCACTGATGTTGACCCCAACGAGGAAGCTCGTTGCCTAGCTCCCCAACCTCCCCTCCTTGGGTTGAGACTCCCCTCTGCTGTTCCACTCTATCCCCAGCCCCCACCATCTCTCCCTTCACCCCACCCTACGTGATCCCATTTCCTGTACTGTCCTCTCTCTCTCCCTTCCTCAGACCTGGCCACTGTCCTCCCCCTCTTCGAGATAGCAGGAGTAGAGTGCCTCATCCTTTCTTATTCCTTTCTCTTCTTTTGAGCTATCACAAATTGAAAAGCATCTTGGCTCCTTTGTGTCAGACCCTACCACACACCACAAAGAATTTCCGTATGACCCATGGCATACGTGTTATCCTCCCCCCGCCCCCAGGACAAGGACCATATCCGGCACATTCCATCAGTGGTATGAACACCTGCCTCTCCAACAGTCATTGTCCCCAGAGGAGATTCTAACTGGGACTATTAGCGGGTTCCCAGGATTGGAGATGAAGGGGACACCTGTCTCCTAGCAGGATGGATAAGTCTGCTCTCAAGGCAGTCAGCTATGGAGAAGATTAAGGAAATTACTTGGGCCAGATGAGAACCTGTCTGTTATCCCCAGTTAACAGAGGCAGTGATGACATAGACCCACTAACCCCAGACGCTAACCAAGGCCTCTTTTGGTTAAGGCATCATCCCCTACACCCTTCTCACCATATTCCACCCTCCATCACTCATTTCTCTGTGCTGGACCTCACAGATGCCCTCTTCACCATCCCTCCAGACCCTTCCAGCCAGGATCTGTTTGCCTTCTCATGGACAGACCCTGACCCCACGTTTCCACACAGCTAACCTGGACAGTCCTGCTCAGGGCTTCTGAGTCCAGCTCCCACCTATTCAGCCAGGCTCTGGCCAATGACCTCACATCTGTCCCTCCCCTCTGCAAGCAAACTCCTACAGCATGTAGATGGTTTGCTCGTCTGTGGTCCCTCCTAGACCTGTCCGCCAAACACCCCACAACTTGATCTCCTCCCTGACAAGGGATGTAGGGTCACCCTTTCCAAGGCCCAAATATCAGCCTCACAAGTCACTTCCCTGGGTCTTACCCTCACTTCACACTTTGCGGTCATCCCACAGTCCTGCAAACAGATAATCTTGCTCCCAGAGAAAAGGGACCATCTGTTCTTTCTGGGTCTGGCTGGATATTTCTGTCTGTGGATTCCCAATTTCAACCTCCTTGCCAAGCTTCTAAACATAACATCTCAAAAAACACTCAGATCTCAGTCCCTTTGAACTACTCTATGGCCATCCTTTTGTCCTTCACCACGTACCCCACTCCTCTACCTCACTTCCCCTGGAAGACATCTGGCCCACTCTCTACCTTTCCCAACAGTAGCCTATGCTGACTGTCATCGTCCCAAACCTTCCTGACCTCCCAGTTCAGTCTCCCGCCATGCAACTGGGGGGATTGGGTCTGGATTATGAATTCTTCAGCATCATTAGAACCTAAATGGCAGCTGGACACCAGTGGCTCACGCCTATAATCCTAGTTACTCAGGAGGATCACGGTTCAAAGCTAGCACAGGCAAATAGTTTGCAATACTTGATCTTGAAAGAAAGAAACCCTTCACAAAAAAGGACTGGTAGAGTGGCTCAAGGTATAGACACTGAGTTCAAGCCCCAGTACTGAAGAAAGAAAGAAAAATAAATAAATAAATTGCAAGGGCCGCACCAAATGATTTTGACTTTACACCCACTGCAGCCCAAGTCAAGGGGCTTCCACATTGGTTTCACCACACCCAACTAAAGGTACACCCCAGTCAACCCTATGGAGGCTCCCAAGCCACCTCCATCGCCCACACACCTAAATATTCCTCTCTCCAGAGGATCCACCTCACTCACCTGACCAGAGTTGCTGAGACATCCTAACCTCTGCTGGCATCCCTTTCCCTGCCCCCCACTTGGTCCCTCAGACCTGGACCTCTTCTCCCTCGTACAAGAACTATAGCTTGCGGGAACCTTTCAGTACTTTTTTCCAGCTCAGGTCTCCTCCTTCACCGTCTGCTTATGTCTTGTTTCTGCCATCCCTCCCACCAGCTGGGACTTATGTCAACTCACACAAAGACTGTGATAAAAAAGAACTCCTTGTTGTCTTCAGACTGCTGGATCTGTATGTCCACACAGTCCCAGCAGTCCACTGCCCTTCACCTGGCCTCCAGCACTGGTTCAACTCTGACACTCCAGATTACATATTCAGCAGCCCCAATCCCAGGCCCTCGCCCCAACCCGCCTCAACCCATATCCTCCGTCCAGCACCTCTGGTATTGTCAACTAAGTGTGGTTATTCTTTCCACTCCATCTGTATACCAAAAACTTACTGAAAGTCCCCAGCAACCAAATCCTTCCCCTCTGTCTCTCTTCAGACCATCAAAGTCTACACGTTCCCATATCAGCGGCTGGCTGGGTTAATCCCTTACGCATTTCAGGCTCCCCCAAAATAACCAGTGCTACTTCCCCCATGAACTGCCCTCAGCACTTAGGCTGTTCCCAAAGCAGGACCCAACCTTGCAGACTGCTCAAACACCCCTACTTGCATGACCCCCACTCTTCAATGGCTCCCACTCCTGGAAACACTTGCTGACCTAGCCCATTCTTACTCCAAAGCCAGGAACTGACCTAGTAGCTCAATACCAGCCTCACATAGGGGCTGTGCTGTCCCTCTCCTCAGTCTGAGAATCAGGAAAAAAAAAACCCACCCCTTTAAGGTATATGGCTGGTCCAAGGCCAAAGAGACCTCCTGGCTGGCTGCTTTCATTTGTGACTTCTGTCTGTCCACACCATGTCTTTTTTTCCTGTATAAAACTTCATCCTGTCTTTGTTTACCTGCTAACTGTCCAGCAGCTGTACTGTCATACACCAGATCCCTGATCCAGGCATACTACCAAATAATCAGAAGGTCCAGGCCCCCTCTCAACCTCCTTATCCTCGAGGGTCCCGAGCCCACAGCCACGCAGGTTATTTCACTCTGTGTTGGCCTATGAATCTCAGCCTCCTCGTTAACTTCCAGCAACTCTCCAAAAGTTTCACTGACATCTAAGTCAATCCCTCTCCACCCTCTAAAACCATCTGGATTCCTTGGCAGGAGTGGTCCTCCAGCACCGTGGAGCCCTTGCTCTCCTAACTGCTAAAGAGAGGGGAACGTGCCTCTTCACACAGGAAGAATGGTGCTTTTATAGCAACCGGTCCAGGTCGTTCCCAGTGCTGTTAAGAGACTTCAGGACTGCACAGCCAATCTCTGACAGTGAGCACACTGGGCAGCTGGGAGCCGTGGTCTGCCTGGGCTAAGGGGATGCCATGGATGGTGCCTCTATTGGGACTCCACATTTTTTTCCTCATTCTGCTGTGTCTAAATTCTCTCTCACTTTGTTTCCCAGAAGCTCAATGCATTTGTCGAGGATACCACCTTGAAGCAGGTTGGCTCCATTCTGTTCTTTCACCGGCCTGCTACAGCCTTCTAAAACAAGAAGACCCCGCTTACATCCTCTTCCCCTAAGAGACCTCAACACCCTGCCTCAGCAGGAAGCAGTTAACAGATTGTCATTGTCCCTTCCCCAACAGTATATAGACAAATCAAAAGGCAGGAATGTTAGGGTGGATAGGAAGGGCAGCCATGTTAGAACCAGACTCCCTCGCAGGTGACTCACTAGAAACTCCCCACCAGAGCCCAAAGAATGACAAATATCACTGGGAGGTGGGAGGGGAAGAAGGATAGGTAGCAACCTAGTGACCTTCCCACACCTCACTTTCCCTAGGTACCCAGTATCAGCTAACCACAAAAGAATTGTCCCTCTCAGCAATCTTCCTGGTACTTTTCCATCTACCCCCGGTCTGTAAGCTGCAGTGGGCTCTAGCTTGTGCTGCCACCCACCACCTCTGCAGGTTCTCTTTCCCAAATAAAACCTGGAGTGGTGGAGTGGCTCAAGTGGTAGGTAGAGTGCCTGCTTGGCAAGGGTGAGGCCCTGAATTCAAGTCACTGAATAAAACCTGTGCTGACGTTGAGCCATCTCCTCACCTATCTCCACGCTTTCAGGCTAATGCTGAAGCATTTATCATTTCTTTGTAATCATAGGTTATTTTAATTATTAATGAATGTAACACTGTGCAAAACTTCATACTTCCACATATGTCATGTGTTATTGTCAATCCTTCTACCATACACATTATAAAATAAAAGTATCTCTGGTAAAGGTGGAGCAGGAATGGAGGTTATAACTATCAGCTGAAATTTAATTTATTTTATGGTCCATAGGTCACAGCTGTCTTTCTTTGGCCCCAGTAATTTTAAGGTGGCTTAGTTGTACATTCACCTGGGCAATGGCTCGGCAATGCTACACATTAGCTATACAAGATATAAATGTGCCTGGCAAAAGTATTTTTGGTTAAAACTAGACAGTTATAAAGCATGGTACCTTGCTGGTAAACCTTTGCACTGGTTGGTGATTTTGCCTGTGGGCAGAGAACTCAGCTATTCATTTGTTCTTTGGGTTCTCACTTTGCTTTGATCATCCTCCTACCTCCGTCCCTGGTCAGCTCCCATTATCCTTCAAGCCTACACCAGCTCCCATTTTCCTGCAAGCTCTTTGCTAATAATCCCTTTAATTTCTGTCTTGCTCATTTTAGCAAGTGGGGAGAAAGGAGAAACCAGGTTATTTTTGTTATTTGAGGGAGCCTTCAGTTAAAGATTATATTTCAAATGTCACAAGATGTAAATGTCAAAACAGTCTTGACCAAAAAAAAAAAAAGAAAAATGTCTCATTACTTCAGGCACAGTTGGAACAATGGCTGTTTTAATGAAGTCCTTACTCTTTTGCTAAATATTGTGATGCAAAGTATCTAATTCCAAGATGTTTTCTCCCTCACCGTTTAGGATCATGGCTGCTGTTCCCCTAAATAATCTACAGGAACAACTGGAGCTCCACTCAGCCAGAAAACTTAGTAATAAACTCAGCCTCTCAAAACCAAAATCCTTGTAAGTAAATCGGTCACTTTTTGATCATATAGGCACACTAACTTATTATATAATATGGATGAGGATTCTTTCAACTTTTTTTTTTTGTGATACTAGAATTTGAACTCAGGACCTCAGGCTTGTTAGGCTCTTGAGCCACTCACCAGCCCTTTTTTGTTGGGTTTTTTCAAGATAGGGTGTCACGAACTATTTGCCTAGGGCTGGCTTCAAACCAGGATCCTCCTGATCTCTGCCTCCTCAGTAGCTAAGATTACAGGTATGAGCCATGGCGCCCGCTTGTTGTTTTGTTTTGAGACAGTTTCTTACTATGTAGCTGAGGCTGGCCTTGAACTTGCTTTGTAATCCAAGCTGGCCTGGACCTCTGGAGCCTTCCTGCCTCGGCCTCCAGAATGCTGGAGTTACTGTCATGCACCATCAGGCCAGCTTCTTTCAGCTCTTCCATTGTACAGATGAGGAAGAGAAGCTGAGAGGTTCAGTGTTTTCCATTTTGCAGATTAATAGCAGAGCATGTGTTAGCAGCATCGGTCAACACCTTTGCACGGTACCTGGCACATTGTACTTGCTCAGTAAAGATTTGTGAGCTAAATGAATTATCAGTTTTACTGTAAATTTGGGCAGATAGGTATACATTAGGTATGTGTTCTGTTTTAATATAATTTTACATCCTTTCTAAAACAGTGTAAAAGGAAACCACAGCTCTTCAGTTGTGCCCTTCCCTGCAGCCCTGCTCAACTCTCAGTGCCGTCTGCTAGCAGCTGGTGTTTATGCCATGTCCATGGATTGTTCTGGGTGCGTGACTGAAAGTCACTAGCAACCTCCATGACATTAAACCCAGCAGACAGACAGGACAGCTGTCTCCTGTGTTTGTCCTTCAGATCTCAGTGTGGCTAGCAGCTTTTCACTCTTTTCCCTTAAAATTTTATCATTTCATTCTCTTTTCGGGTTCTGGGGGTGATGTTCAGTAAGGACCACCACTCTGAGAAGTAAAGCAGGGAACGTCCTGGGTTACTCTCAAACGAGTCATCAGCCTCTGAACGGAAGGGTCAAAGAATACCAAATAGGACTTAAATTACTTGGTAAATTTTGGAATCATAGGGGAGGTAGATTGATTCTCTGCTCATTTGTAATACAATTAATGTAGCTTGCATTAGAATTAGGAAAAAAGTACTATAGAACTGTATCTAGTGAGTAGGTTTGTTAAAATGACCCTGTCTAGGGGCTGGGGTTGTAGCCCAGTGGTAGAATGCTTGCTCAGTGTTCACAGGCCCTGGGTTCAGTCCCCATCAACAAGAACAAATGAACACACCTCATTTGGCTTCTCCATTATTTCTCAGAGGTTTTACTTTTAAAAAGAAAACATCATCAGACAGCGATGCATCCGTGACCAGTGTATCAGTAGCAAGAACACCTGTGTTAAGTGACAAAGATGTGAATGTATCAGAGGCCTTTTCCTTCAGCGAGCCTCTGCCCCACACCCCAAATCAGCAGACAAGAACCAATGGCTTCTTTAAGAATACCCCAGCAGGACAGCGGACCCAGGGAACTGGTGCAAAACCACTCCTGCTAGATCCACTGCAGAGTCCGCAGGAAGTTTTACGTACCACCCAGAACTCAGCAGCTGTAAAGAAACCCCAACTCCATGATGCCACCTTCAAGAAATTAGAATTTAGTTCTTCGCCAGATTCTTTCAGCCCCAATAATGATTGGGATGATATGGATGATTTTGATACCTCGGCAACTTCAAAAGCATTTGCCACGCCACTCAGAAATCACGTTGTAAGAGTAAGCACAGCTCAGAAATCAAGAAAGGGCAAGAGGAACTTTTTTAAAGCACAGCCTGAGAAAGCAAACACAGCCAAGACTGGTCCGACTCCTTCACGCTCTGAAAGCCTGCACATTGACTTAACTGAGGAGCAGGAAGGCTCGGAATGCTTGAGCAGTGGGGTGATTTGCCTGGATGATGACCCCACTCCCAGTGTGCTTGAGAAGAAAGGGACCCAGGAGCATCACCCTTTGAAAGTTCAGGTGGGAGATGACAGAGGTAAGAATGGTTTTGCCTTCATCTCAGTATGTTCCACTGGGAACAGGAAATACCATAAGCTTCCATCCTGGAGGGTCTCCAGCTCTCCTGATGCTTATGGAACAGTCTGTTGGCCATATTGTGTATTCACTCCAGGGTAACTAATTTTGTATGTGTAGAAAGTAACACCTGCAGAGGCTAAGTGGGTCATTAGTGGCAGACTTGGAAAGTGACGTGAAGCCTTGCTATATAAATCATTGCTAATGATTTGCACACAAACAATGGATGAATGATATGGTCTGACCGTCCTATTAAAGTACCATCAGGCATTGCTTCACAAACGACGAGGTGTCATTCAGCAATTTCGACACTCTACCAACAGCAATGTGCTTACACAAACTATGATGGTTTAGCCTTCTACACACCCGGCCCCTGCAGGGTAGCAAGTGCTCGTGGGCGTCAAACCTGAGTGTGAGCCAGTGGTGAGTATATGTGTGTATGAGCATATCTAAATGTACAGGTACAGGTGTGAAAGATAAGTGGGACACCAGGACAGCACACCTCAGAACGGAGCTGCTCGGGGGGAGTGTGGGAGTGAACATGGAGGCCTGGGCGTTACTGTGCCCAAGTAGACGTCATAAACAGCACACTTAGTCTGCATGAAACTCATTTAAAAATTTATCTCCTCCTTAATAAATTAATCTTAGCTCATTGTCAGTTTTTTTACTTTATAAAACTTACAAATCTTTTAACTCTTACAGTCACACTTAGATTAATGCACACATTGTACAGCTGAGTACAAATGGTTTTTTCCTTATACCCTTACTCTAGAAGTCGTTTTCTTTCTTTGAGTTGGTCTCCCTCTGTAGCCCAGGCTGACCTTGAACTCTAGTCCTTCTGCCTCGACCTCCTATGTGCCAGGATTGTAGGTAAGAACCACTGCAAACAACACTGTCTTTTTTTTTTTTTTTTTTTTAACTTCTTTGATTAAAAAATAAGCTGGAGACTGGCAGAGTGGCTCAAGTGTAGAGCACTTGCCTAGCAATCATGAGGCCCAGAGTTCAAACCCCAGTGCTGCCAAAAAAACAACTGAACAAAACACATTAGCTTAGGCCTCCTCAGTGTTGGGATGGTCACCACTGTCTTCCATCTCCACCCTGAAAGGTCTCACTGGAAGGTCTTAGGAGGTCAAATGCAAATGGAGCTATCATCTAAGTGGAAAGAGTGCACTCTAAAACAGCAATAAAAAGTACAGCAAATGCATAAACCAGTGACACCAAAATCATTGTCATACCTGAACTGTGCATGGTGGGTCATGCATTCTCCTGTGACACAAGAGTTATTCAGCCCCATTTGTTTTGGGTTTTGGTGGCACTGCGGTTTGAACTCTGGACCTCTTACTTGCAAGGCAAGCATTTTACCTCTTCAGCCATGCACCCACATCCACAGCGTCTGGTGTTAATGTAGGCATACCAGTTTGCTTTTGGTTAGTTGTTTTGTTTTGTTTTGTTTCAGTACTCGGGGTACTTTTTGAACTCAGGGTCTTGTGCTTTCTAGGCAGGCACTCTGCTACTTGAACCACACCAACAGCTCTAAAATTTTTAAAAATTTTAAATACCTGAATTCCATCATGGTTGCTATAGGGTGAGGGAGAGCTGAATGGTGATTGCTAATAAGCAGATGATTATAGTCTAATCAGTTGTGTCGCTGTTCCTGAAAGGAATACTTGGTAGGAGCTATGGTAAAAGATAAATTAGCGAGCACCAGTGTGACATTACATTTAGCCCAAAAGAGAAATGCAAACAAATAGGTAGCTCTGGGGTAAAGTAGAGGTGGTTTATCTGTCCAAGCAGCAGTGTTTGTGCTGGGTGTGGTGGTACCTGTCTGTAATCCCAGCACTCAGAGTCTGAAGCAAGAGGAAGGAGCCTGAGCTGCATAGCAAGAGCCTGTTTCAAAACAAGCAAACAAAGTAAGTGTGTGCCATTAGATTTCCTGCTGCATGTTACCTTTCTGTGAGTAGAAAACTAAAACGAAAGCGCTGCTACTCAGTGTGGGCTTTGTAATTATATGAAGACAGGCATGAAAACCCCTAAGCTAGTCATCTTCAGCCTCGGTCCAGTGCTGGGCTGACTCCAGGTGGCTCCCAAGTCAGCCCACAGGAGCTCGTGAGAGGAGAGGGCCCTGTACAGAGGGCTGTCCCCAATGTTCACGCCTGTTCCTTCTGTCTCCTTAGGTATTAAGCTAACCTGTGTTTATCCACTGTTTTGCTCCAGATAATCGTGAAAGGAAGACCAGTGGGGAAGGAGCTGAATTGCTTTCAGCCGAGACAGTTCTATGCATTGAGCTAGGTGAGGATGGCGATGCAGATTTTGTTCCGCCGTCTCCAGAGGAAGAAATCGGCTCCACTTCTTCTTCCTCTTCAAAATGCTTTAGGTGAATAACTAGTGATGAGTATGCATTGTTGCTATTTACTGGTTGTCTTAGGTAAGACAACGCTAATGTGTTGTGTGCTTCTGGACTTTATCTTGCAGCCAAGTGAAAGCGTTGTTAGAGGCGGGACTCAAGGGTATCACTCCTGCCTTCCCAGTGCCATGCCCTGAGTTCAAACCCTACTCCCATCAAAAAGATATATCATTTACCTGAGCACCCTTGGCTCACACCTGTAATCCTAGCTATTTGGGAGGCAGAGATCAGGAGGATTGAGGTTCAAAACCAGCCAGGGAAAATAGTTTGAGAGACCCCATTTCTGAAACAACCAGAGCAAAATGTACTGGAGGAGTGGCTCAAGTGGTAGAATGTCAACTTTGCAAGTGCAAAACCCTGAGTTCAAACTCTAGTCCCACCAAAAAAACAAGAAAAAAAGAAATTGCTGTTCTCATACTCACTATCTTCCTTCCTAAGCCTCTCGAGGGCTGGAATTACAGGTATGCACCACCACACCCAGGAAAATAAATCACTTCATAAATTTTATTTAATTAGTCACATCTTAAGCAGGTGCAGTCTCCTACTCAGGAGTCTGAGGTGGGAGAACCGCCAGTCTCGGTCACAGCCCAGTTAAGTGGTGGAGTGTAGACGCCCCTTTTTAATCATGTAGCTGCATAAATAAGGAGGGAAGGACCGTTTTGTGTTAACTTGGCCCAGTTCCCCCTGGCTAGTGCTTTAACAGGTGTGTTGGGATGTTTGAAGAGGGGAAGGTTGAAATGCAGCACCATTCAGTGGTGGTGCCAAGAACCATAAGTGCTATCCTCTGTCCTCTTTTCCTTTCTGTTAGAAAATTAGATAGAACTGTAGAAAGTTATAAAACTGAGCCAAAGTTCAAATACCATCTGAACTCTTAAATCAGCGTTCTCATTTAGCAGGTGAAACAGCTGAAGGCCGGGGATGAGTTGGGAATTGCCCAGGATGAAACAGTTACGGTAGAAGGACCAAGATCCAGTGTCACACTTTGCTCTGTGCCTTCTGACTCCTTGTCAAATGCTAGGCTTTTTCCTTGACTGTTGAAAATCGAACTGCACAAATGACCGTGTAGCCACTCGAGCTAGGATTTTAAATAAGACAGAAGAGATACTTGTAGTGTTACACTTCCCACAGCTGTTTGCCTTGTTTGTGTTTGGTTCATTATTGGAATGGATACGAACTGTAATTTCGTATTCTGCTTTCTTCAATCTCACTGCAAAATGTTTTCCGTACCTCTGCACTTACATTCCTTTTGATGACTGTGTAGCTCATTGGCTTATCGTTACCTTAAAAACCTTTTACTTGATTTTTAGCAATTGGGAAATGGTTATTTACAAGGTTTATTCTCTGTTTATTTCCAGTACAGCATAGCATATGTATTTGTTTATATTATGTAACTGTTTCCTGCATATTTCTTTGGTCCAGTCTATAGCATGATTGGTTTGGCTGTTTTTTTCTTTATTTATAGTATGTTAAGGGATTTTGATGCCTCTGACAAAGAAAAGGACATTCTTAGCACATCAAAAGACCTTCTGTCAAAACCAGAGAGAATGATGACACAGGAGCCTGATGCCAAAACCAATACAGACGGTGACGGTAAAAAGCATTTAGCCATATGACATTTTTCAGCTTCTCTTTCTTAAGCAAAGTAAGATTGTATTTCCTTGCTGAGGCTGTGTAGTACAAAATGTAAGTTCACTGAACCTTTCCCTCTGACAGAAAATCCCCCAGCCATTGATGAGCCAGCATTTGCTTGAGCGCCTCATAAACTCTTGTCTCATGAGGTTCATCCTGTCTTGAAAACGCTACTTGTTAGAGACTGCCCCCGCAGCTCTAATCCTTGTAAGGGAAGCACAAGCTCCAGATGTTGCTCTCCCCCGCCGCAGGCTTTAGACATTGGTTTCTAGACCTTTAACCCTCGTGCTTCTCCTTTGCCTATGCTTTGGTTCTGAATGTTTTTTTATTTTCACTTGTCTTTCTTCTTTTCTTTTTGTTCTTCACCAGTGCTGAGGATCAAACCCAGGGCCTTGGGCATGCCAGGCAAGTGCTCTACCACCAAGCCACATCTCCAGCCCTGTTTGAATTGTTTGCAGTTCACTTTTTAAATTTTTTGCTAAGCATCCAGTATAAATAACCCAGTAGCTTTGTAAGACTGGAAAACCAGAGCCCTTTCCGCTCTTAATTTCTACCTCCCAGAAGCACCTTAGTCTAGGAATTGGGATGCTTTTACTCCCGAAGGGTTTCTGGTAGTATTTTGTCTTTCTTCTTCTTTTTTTTTTGTTGTTGTTGTTGTTGTTGTTGTTGTGTTTTAAGTTTTAGCAAGGATTTATTTTCATGTAACAGGGGAAAGTTGGAAGACACGGGGAAAAAGGAGGGTAGGACATTTTCTGCTCCCCACACAGGAAATGAGTCGTAAAGACTCAAAATGGTGGTTCTTTTCTGTACCTTCATGCTCTAAGAAGGGAGAGCACAGGTGGTTGTGACTACTGCTGCCTGTCTGTTTAGTAATCATTAAACTGTGGACCTGGATGTCAAGATATGTGCCGTTTGTTATTTTAAAATATGGAAATGTAACAATTTTTTAAAAACTAAAAAAAAAAAAAAATAGGGTGGGGTGGCAGAGAGGCTGAAATGGTACAGCACTTGCCTAGCAAGCATGAGATCCTGAGCTCACACTCTGGTACCACAATCAATCAGTCAAAAACAAAATAAAATAAAATAAGATGTAACCCAGGCTTACCCAAAACACAGGGACAAAAGATAAGTTTTAGGACTTCCTTTTGCCAAACAGTCATTCCATTTTTGTCTCTACCCTTTCAAGAAGCCTTGCAGCGTCTTAACATCTCACAGGGGGAGGCAGGTGCAGAGATGGCAGTACTTGTATTTATCTTTTTCTCTTTCAGTCTCTAGAAACTTCTGTTACTTGGATGTTGGACTTCATCAGTTGTCTTATGTGTCTCTTGCTATTTTACTTTGTTGGATTTCCTCAGTTTTATCTTTTCTGTGAAGTGTATCATTTCTACCAAGTCAGTTTTCTGAGCTCTTTTCTGTTCATGACTATTTGTCTGGCAGGTGCAGCACTATGTGCACATGTGCAGTGCTCTCTGCATTGCAAATTTCTTTGTATTTCAGTCTCTAAAATATCTCATGTCCCAGGCACTCTCCTGAGTGCCCCACAGTGTAAAGTACTTTAATCTTTACACTGGCCCCTTAAGGCACTTTCTTTTATCTCCATCTTACAAATAAGCAAACTGAGGTACAGTAGAGTGGTCACGGAATCAGATGACAGCAGAGGTAGGATTTGAACCAGCAATCTTAAGACTCCAGCTCACACTGATAACCACTGCATGTCCTGTCTGGATCATTAAGTCCCACTAATAAGATGATTTCTAGGACACTTCTTCAACTAGCTTCAAATCTGCTTCTGTGGAGGTATAAAGGACTCAGAGGATTTTCAAGGTCAGGGTCTGAGGTGGCAGGAGGAAACGGATGGGGCGCTGTCTGTCCAGTGATGCAGACTGATGGAGGCCTGTCTCCCACCGTGGCTCCTGCTGTGTGCTATGGCAAAGTAGTCAAACCTCTCTGGACCTGGGGTGGTTGGGGGAGGGCCCTTAGTTTTGTTTTTGTTTTCATTTTTTTGAGACAGGTTTTGCTAAATAGCCCAAGCTAGCCTTAAACGCAGAATCCTGCCACAGCCTCCTGAATGCTAGGATTGCAGGCATGTGCCACCAGGCCCAACACACTGTTCTCTTCTGCCAGCTGAGAAGAATATCTATCTTTGTAGTGAGTTGTCCGGTTTCAAGGTACAGTATAAGCCTTCAATAAATGGTAGCTATTGTTACCTGGCAGTCTAGTAATCTTTCCAAAGAAGGAAATACATTAAGGTGGCTGTTTTGTTCTTATGAACTCTTCCTAACTCCATAACTGTTGCCTCTTTTTAGAGTTCACAGAGCAGCCATTTGACAGCATGTTCTAGACTGGTGCCTTGATTTGACATCAAGATCAGTGGCCTGTAACTTTTGGCAGTCACCTGCAATTGTTGTTTTTTTAAAATTAAAACAATGTTTGTCTGTCTTCACTTTGCTTGTTCTCCATATGCCTCGTGTATCAGCAGCAGAGGCTCTGCCATCTTGTTTGTGGGTTTGCTTGTAGTCTGAGGTGAAATCCATGTGGCAGGGAGACCTGAGCTCCTTTCCACTGTCTAGGTACTTGTGTCTCTCTGAGCTGGCCTTGGCTTTCAGCTCTTTTAGACTACATTCTCCTCTTTCCAATCCGCTGCTCATTCTCCATCATAGAAAACAGCAGTGACACAGGTATTCCATGGTTCCATTTTTACAACTCTAGCCCCCAACCCTATTTCCAGTCACCAGTACTCAGCAGTACAAGTACAGATGTCTTCGGTCATCCTCACTTCGTGCTCTGAACACTGTTGGTGTCCTCTCTTCCCCTTTCTCCTGCCCTGGTTGTCCTGGGCCTGGCCCCTATGGCCTCTTCTCTTCTCAACATGCCCCTCCCCTTCTTTCTGTCCTTGTCCCTGAGAATACTGTTTCCTCCCTGTGTCCCCAAAGAAACTGACTTTTCCTCCCACATGCCTTAAGCCCTTGAGGGTGAGCGATCTATGCTAAATTACTTGTTTTCTTTCCATCCTCTAAAACATCACGTCCTTTGAAATTGAATTTCTTAGTTATATGGCTTAGTTAAGAGAAAGTGCAAAACTCGATTCGGGGTGTGTAACTCAGTTGGTGCTGGGCATGTGTGAGGCCCTGGGTTTCACCCCATTGCTCTAAGTATTTACAGTTGCTTTACAGCCAGATGGATACATTTCCAGCAGCAGCTCATTCACGTGATGGACCACATCTGTAGGCTAGTTGACACCATTCCTGTGGATGAACTGAAGGCTTTGGACTGTGGGGACGAGCTGCTTGAACAGCGGAACATGAGGTATCTGGAGTTCTCTCCTTCTGAAGTGTGTCTGACTGCATTCCCATTCCACCCGAGTTAGAAAACGGACAGCGGTGTCCAGACTTTCTAACCTAGAAATTACACAAGGATGGGCTTCACCAAGTTTTACATTTACTTGCTTTTTAAACTGTTCCTTTAGGACTTTTGTATTCAAATTTTGTTTGGATTGAAAACTGAAGATAAATTTTCATGGCCTACTGTAGTCAGCTACATATACTGAATACATTGTTCTCTTTTTTCTCTTCAGAAGAAAACTCTTGGCTGAAGGAGATTTTAATAGAAATGATGTCAGTCTTTTGGGTTCAGTGTGGAGACACAGGGCTGATTCACTTGGGAACACTGTGGAGGGGGACTCCTGCCCTGCAGGGAACTTGCTCAAGGAGTTAACGTCTCCATACCTTCCCTCAAGCTCTCTTTCCACCACTCTGGGAAAGACAGTGCTCTCTGAAAGGCCAGGATTCAGTCCACATTTACAGAAATCCTTTGTGAGTGGAAAACGGGCTGAAACGCCAAGGAGAGAAAAAAGAAACGAAAGTGCTTATTTCCCAGGAAATGTTCTCACAAGTACTGCTGTGAAAGATCAGAGTAAGCACACTGCTTCAGGAAATGACTTAGAAAGAGAAAGCCAGGCTTTCTGTGATATTGATAATTTTGACATAGATGATTTTGATGACGATGATGACTGGGAAAATATAGTGCATCATTTACCAGCCAGCAAATCTTCTACAGCTTCCTACCCACCTGTCAGGGAAGGTGGGCCGATTAAATCTGTATCAGAGGAGATTTCTTCAGCCCACGCAGACTGTCTGCCAGTGGTATCTACTGCTCGAAATAAAAACTTCTCAGAGTCAGTTCAGAAGTACACTGGTAAGTTTAAAATAAACTGAATGCTTAAATATTATAGGAAAACAAAACTGTCCAAAATAGGACTTGTGTAAGAAAAACCATAGTAAGTCATCAGTGCCTGAAAACCACATTGTTCCTGTGCAAATTTCTACTGATAATATGAATTACAAATCACAGTTCCAAAGGCAAGTTGCTCTTGTCTCTGCAGCAGCTGTACGTTTATGAAATGTGTAATTATAGCCTGTTGTAGTAAGCTCTAAAGTCATTACAAATGTGCTTTGCCTTTAAATTAACATTTTTCCTTCCTCAAACAGTAAAGCTCAGGAGAGCCAAATTTAATGATTTCGGGATGGGCAAAAAAAAAAAAAGATGAATTTATAAAAGCTAACCACGTGTATTTTCTAGAATTCTGGATTGCTAAAAAATGATTACAAAATATTAACACATAGGGCAGTCTACAAGATTATAAAGTCAAATTCCTTAAAACAATCAAGTTATTTCTTTGAACCAGGACTTCTTTTCATTCCTGCACCATGTGCTCATTGGTTGCTTGCTGTGTGCCATGTACAGGACTGGGTTCCTGATAATACTAGAAAGATGGCTTCTTGGAGCTGTGAGAGGTGTGAACTCAGCTACTGTAAAGGCTTCAGAGTAAAGCCGAAATTAGTTTTAAAACCTTACATCAGCCCCGTAAAGTTATTGCAGAGTGTTTTTTTACTGAAACAAGTGTCCATGTGCAAGTTTTATGAAGCCCTGTCCTCCCTATTTTTGTCGTTGCTGACTTAATACCTCGGAGGTTGTCCCTCTGGTTATGCTGTTGACCTTTAAAATAGCCATTAATGGACTTATTTTGGTATGCTGTTAGAATGTGTCATACTTGATATTTGCAATTATCTTTGAGACAGTTGAGTGTCAAAGTGAGAGTGGCTGCCAGAGCTGGTGTGAGTACCTCCTGTTCCTGCTGAACCAGGGTTGCCACAGTGAGGTCACAGAGCAAGGGCAGTGAAAAGCGAGGTTCAGGCGACTCTGAAGTTTCAGATCCCCAGTGACTGGGAACACTGTGATACCATTCACAGGAACAGGAGAGACAGGAGACAGTCAGATGTGGAGAAAAGCTGAGGAGGGCTATTTTAGACTCATTTTGCTTAAACTCTTGGTAAATCACTCAGGTCGGAATATCTTACAGACTCCTGGAGACATGTGCAGGAGGAACTTAGAAGGATACTCAGTAGTCTCTGCACACAGGTTACGTGTAAGATCACAGAACTGGGAAAAGTCCACATGAGACTGTGCAAAGAGCCCAGTCCCAAGTATCTGGTAGCTCCCAAATTTAAGGGGCAGGGGAATTGGAGCCAGGAAAGGGAATTTAAAGCCAATAGAGAGGGTCTGTGGGTGTAGCTGTCAGTGGTAGAGTTTTTTGTTTTGCAGTACTGGGGTTTGAGCTTCACTTGGTGCTGGCTAGGCAGGTGCTCTACCACTTGAGCCGGGCCTCCAGCCCAACGTGTTTACCCAGGATGCTCCAGGTCCTGAATTTGATTTCCAATAGTGCAAATATTAAAGGTCGAGGGAGAAGAATAAAAATAAGAGTAGTGGTAGGGGTGGCAGGAAAGTCAATGGAAGACTTGATAGGGCCTTAGGTTCTCGGTGGCCTTGAGATCCATTAGGAAGGTACCCTGTCAACAGTTACAGTGACACTGCAGAGGCAAAGGTAAGCCCAAAGGCTATTGCATTACCACAGAGTTTTCTCCATGTTATTTTCCTAGACAAGATGGCGCAAAGTTTAACATCCAAGAATATGAAACATGAACGCTTCCAAAGTCTTAATTTTCCTCATACAAAAGAAATGATGAAGATTTTTCATAAAAAATTTGGCCTGCACAATTTTAGAACTAATCAGCTGGAGGCGATCAATGCTGCACTGCTCGGTGAAGACTGCTTTATCCTAATGCCCACTGGTACGTATTTTTAGATGTGAGTTGGCAGGGGTCCACTGGCAGATGTTAAGTGAAAGAAAGCCCTTCAGTAGAAATGAAAAGATAGCCGCAGCATTTTATCATTTACAGACCTTTTAAACCTCTGCCATTGTACAAAAGCATGTCACTTCATGGCCTCTGTTCTAGTTGTTGACAGAAGGCCTATAGCCCTCTTTTAAGATTTTTCAACTTAGAACTCATTGGGTTGACCTGACCTAGAGTTTTTCTTTAGGAATTTTTCCTTTTTCTGGTCTAAATAAGCCCACAAAGTGAACAACAACAACAAAAAGTTACTGTGGGAAACCATGAGCGATACAGTGTTGCATGTGGTTACATTAATCAGCTCTGAATGGCCTTGCCCCAAGTGCAGCAGCTCTGTGCCTAGAGCCATGTGAGTGGGCAAGGCATGTCCTTCACGTGTGGTGACCATGAGAGTGAAGCACCTGTGTCATAGAGCCTCAGGGGGAGGAAATGGTCCCAGTCTCCAAGAGTCCAGGACTTCATGTGCTGTTGCATCCTGTGACAGCTGTTGAGTGGTTTCTAGTCATCCACACAAGAATATTCCATAAGCAGTTAGGACAGGAGGCGGGCAGAATCTGGAGATCAGGCATCTCCATGTGCTCCTCCCTTGTCTTTTGCTTGTCTTGTGACCTTTAGCAAGTTAGCTCTTGCCACCATTGTTACATAATATTGACTGGGCAGCCAGATTTTTTCTTCTTTTGGGGGGGGCAGTACTGGGGCTTGGACTCAGGGCATCGTGATTGCTAGGCTTTGCTAGGCAGGTGCTCTATCACTTGAGCCACTCCACCATCCCTCAGGTTATTTCAAACTCATTTTAAAATCTAGACAATGCTGGCTTAATAATCAGCATTTCAAGTTTTACTAACATAGTGATCGCTCAGTGTTCTCCATTTCAACTTAAGCTAGGAACCCCAAAACTGGCACTGCACAGGACCTTGGCAGTGATCTCACCCAGTGATTTTCAGAACTTCCCATGGGCCTTTAAGGCCTTGAGGTCTTTTCAAGGTCCTTGCTACCCCAATTTCAACTGCTTGATTTTATACATATTATATATATATTATATATATATATTATATATATATATTATATATATATATATATAAAATGACGCCAAATAATGTTTCATTTAGACAAAAAATTAAACCACTGATTCAGTGCTTTTGCGGATGCTAAAATTGAGGCCTACTGAGGCTAATGGTGTGCCTTGAGTTCATGCAGCTAATCAAGCACTGCTGCTTTTCTCAGCACCACTGCTCTTTCCTTGATATTTCCACATACATCCCAAATGAAATTTCCTGTTAACGTGAAAAAGAAGGCATGTAATACGTAGTTAAAAGATGTTTTTAAAGTCCTAAAAACTCCCTAGCACCAGTTTCTGCCATTAGCAGATGGGTGAAATGGGAAATTCAGTGAAACATAATCATTTTTAGTTACTTTGAAATGTGTTCTTGGGGCTGGAGGGCAGCTCGGTGGTGGGGGCAGCTCAGTGGTTGGGGGAGCTCAGTGGTGGGGCGCTCGTCCTGCAGATGCATGGCCAGTGCTGATCCCCAGCAGGAGAGAGAAAGAAAAAGAAATGTGTGCTTACTGTCTTGCCATTTTGAATTAGAGTTACATAGCAAGAGTTTTTTTGGTCTTTTTGAAATTTCTTTTTCTTCATCTTATGTTAGTATACAGAAATGTAGTTCTACCCTTTTATTTCAGAGGGAGCTGGGATCATTGTCCCGCTGGTGAGAAGAGTGGGCGCTCTGGTCATCAGAGTTCAGGAGGCTCGTGCTAGGAGTTTAACACACTGAGATCTGGGCTGGGGGTATAAAGTGCCTTCCTAGCACATGAGAGGCCCTGGGCTTGATTCCCGACACTGCAAAGAACTAAGGAAAAGGAAAGATTTGTTTTCTTTTGTTTTTTTTGGCACTGGGATTTGAACTCATCCTCATGCTTGCTAGGCAGGTGTTCTACCACTTTAACCACGACTCTAGCCTGAGAGAGAGCTTGAAAGTGCTTTGTTTGTCATCAAATACTGAATCAAGCTCGTCATGGTTTATATCATTATATAGTCTATCTAAACATTATTGTAAATGTTTAAAAATAGATATTATATAGAAAGCAATTATGTTAGTCCTACAGTTAGGGTTTTAGGGTGCTTTATACTGCCAGAAATAAAACTGTTGACTGTTCGGACTTCCCAAACCCACTTTTTAAGTAGCTCCATTAAGTTGATTTTTTTTTTGTCTTGATTCCTATTTTTGCTATTGCAAGCGCCTGTGTGAAATGCTGTGACAGACCATTTGGTTCCTAAATAGCTCAGCTCATTCATTAGGCAAATGATGGGCCCGGGGCAGCATCACTTGCTTTCAACATCGCAGTGGCTCCCTCTCAGATAGGAGCTGACAGATTGTCTCCGTCATTTCTCTTTCAGGAGGTGGTAAAAGTTTGTGTTACCAGCTACCCGCCTGTGTTTCTCCTGGGGTCACTATTGTCATTTCTCCCTTGAGGTCCCTGATAGTTGATCAAGTCCAAAAGCTGACTTCATTGGATGTAAGTTATGATGTGAAAGCACTAATAAAAGTGTGCCTTAGAAGCAGTACTATGTCAGTACTCGAGACACATTTTTATTGAATAGTTCCTGACTTACCTGGATAATTCATGAATTATTCTGGGGGTGTAGCTCAGTGGTAGAATGTTTGCTGAGCATGCTCAGACCTTGGGTTCAATCCCCAGCACTACAGAAATAAAAAAAAGAAATAACTAAGGCACAGCAGGTTAGTTGTACATTGTTGGGCAATGTTACTATTATTATTATTGTACTTGAAAACTCCGATACAGAGAACTGTCTGTAATTCAATCTGATTTTGTTCTTCTACAAGAGTATGTTTTATGAAGAACTTTTAGCTTAGACTTTGCCAGTGTAATTGTTTTTCACTAATACAAAGGGGTTTCTTTTTTAGTACTGCCAGATCAGTGTGGCTCTCTTTTCCTTGTGTCTTAAAATGCATCCACATGTGCGTGCCCACACACACATGTCTATCTTCCTCAGAGCTGAGTTGTAGGATGTATATTGCTGCAGTCCACCAAAGCTTCATATTGTCGTCAACAGATGAATGCAGGGTATGAGTCACCACACCTCACCAAGAACACTGGCTGAGTTTTTCTTCCAAAGGATGTCAGTGCGGCCCTTGTTCAACCATTCATGTTCCAGCCTTCTCGTGGTCATTAAACATTAAAACTTAAGAGACGTTTCCTAAAACAAACAAAAACAAGAAAAGGAGCCCAACATTAGAACTGAAGTCTCTTGAGTACTAAGTTCATACTTGCTTTATTTGCAAATATAGAAAGTAAAGCAAGTGCAGAGAAGAAAGTAAACAGTGGAGACACCTTATTATTTTTTTAAAGGGGTCTCGTTATGTCGCAGGCTGGGCTCCAACCCTGTTCTTCTGCCTCAGCTACCTGTGTGCTGGCATTCCAGTGCTGCCGTGGCTGACTGCAAAGGTTATTCTGAGTTATGTTTAAGAAGGCTTTTTTAAAAATGCATGTTCTGATTATTTGTTGTAGGTAAGATGTATGTTTCCTTTGATAAGTTTGCTATGTGACTTATAAAATATTTATAAGACCTAAAGATAAGTGTGATTTTTGTCAGGTTAATGTGTAAAATTGAAATTGTTTATTACTTTTATGCTTAGATTCCAGCTACATATCTGACAGGTGATAAGACAGATTCAGAAGCTGCAAGTATTTACCTACAATTATCAAAAAAAGACCCGATTATAAAACTTCTGTATGTTACTCCAGAGAAGGTTTGTGTTTACATCCTTATTTTAAAATATAATATTGCAGGCCACCAAGAAACATACATTTTTAATAGTGTAATGTGACGAGTTCCTGTATAACTTTCACCCAGAAACCCACACAGTGACATTTTGCTATAATTGCTTTATCTTTCATTCTTTCTCTAGTTTTTCTGAAACATTTGACTATAAATTGCAGACATGATATCCTTTTAGCCCTCAGTACTTCACTGTGCATTTCCTAAAAGTAAGAACTTCTCATACGTAACTGTAGTGTAATTATCAAGTCAGAAGACACACACTGACACAATCTGTTGCCTAATATGTGGACTTCCAGCTTCACCGATTGCCTCAATAATGTTCTTTATAGCAAAAGAAAACCCCACTGTAACCCATCTATCTCAACAGAGTCACTCTTTTCCATGATTCTGGCAGTTTTGAAGTGTGAAGGCCTTTGTTGTGAGAGCTGATGTCTCCTCCTGATTATGCTCACAGTATTCATTGTGGCAGAGGTGTCGCAGGTGTGATGGCGTCCCATGTATCCTGTAGGGCACCCGATGTTAATTCATTTGTGCCTGGGGTTGTTAGTTAACTTACCACTTAGGTAGTGCCTGCCGGAGCTCTGCACTGTAACTTTTTTTTTTTTTTTTTTTTTTTAAGCTTTTGTGATGAGTTGAGATCCTGCTATGGGTATTCTGAGACCATGTGAATACCCTGGTAGACATCAGAGTTTCTGTGTCCTTTGATGATTCTTCCCCAAATCAGCTGTAACAGTAATGGATGCCAAATTTTGGTTTTACTAATTTAGTTGGTATTCTACCACAAGGAAGAGCTTTCCTGTTTATCCTGTGTACTTATTTATTTATGTTTGTTTATGTGAGTATGAACTTATTCAGTGGGTTCCAGTCGGTTTTCTTTATGTTTTCTGATGTTCTCTTGTCCTAGACTTGACCAGTCAGAGCTCCATCAAGGACTTCTGTGTCCTTTTCACATGTCCCTGTCAAGAAGTGGGTGTAGATGTGCTGTTGCCAGTGGGCTTTCATTGCTTCCAGGCCCCGTATGGACAGAGCTACAAAGTGCATACATACATACACACACAGGTCTCCATGTGAATACATACGTACCTCCAGAATTTTTCCTCAACCAGCATGCATGCATATCTGTAATCCTGTTACCAGTGTAGACACCAGTGGCCCTCAGATGCGCTGAAGCATAAAAGTTTTAGAGCCCCTAACCAAATTCATGCACTGTTTGCTGAACGTGGGTGAGCATGGCTTGCTATTTTCTATTATTTTTGCTTTTTTCTCGGGGATTGAAGCAAGAGCCCATTTTAGATGGAAGTGTTTTGTGGCTTAAATGTAATGGGACTAACGACAGCAGTCACTAACACTTAGGTGACGTGCTATCTCCTGCATTGCTGCTCTAGGTCTGTGCGAGTAACAGGCTGATTTCCACACTGGAGAATCTGTATGAGAGGAAGCTCTTGGCACGTTTTGTCATCGACGAAGCGCATTGTGTCAGTCAGGTAAATACTGTTTTTATGCCAGTAGTATAAATATCTTCCGAACTGAAGAGCCCACACTGAGTGAACCGTTCTGTTGTCTCCCTGAGGGATAAAGTAGTTCTTGATATATTGTCCAATGTCGGCCTTCTGTGGAAGGCAGATCCAAATAATCTGAAAAGCAGTGTTTGTTTCCAACTAGTGGGGACACGATTTTCGTCAGGATTACAAAAGGATGAACCTGCTTCGCCAGAAGTTTCCTTCCGTCCCCGTGATGGCCCTTACTGCCACGGCCAACCCCAGGGTGCAGAAGGACATCCTCACTCAGCTGAAGATTCTCAGGCCCCAGGTGTAAGTTGTGAAAAGTTGTTTTTAACCCCAAGGCAGTGGTTTTCAATGGGGCTGCACATCAGAAGCACCTGTGGGCTTTAAAATTCCCAAGCAAAGTTGTACCCGTGGGCGGCTGAGTCAGAACCCAAAAGCCAGGGCTGGGAGATGGGTTTTGGATTCTCAAGTGAATCCAGTGAGCATCAAAATCTGAGATCAGGACCTGGGCTTTTCCTCACTTACAGAATTAAAACTCTGTCCCAGCCCTACTTTGGAAGTGGGGATTAATTGCATTCTCTACTTGTTGACCCTGGTATAGTCCTGGGAATAAAGATAGCTTTTATTTGTCTCACTTGGGCTTCCATATTTCCCAGAGTGTTTCATGAGGTGAACAGTGACCCTGCTCTGCCATTTTCTCCTAAAGTCCAGTTCTGCCCAGAAAGATGTGGGACAGCTCTGCTGTCCTCCTCTCAGCAGCAACATACTTGTTGCTGCCACCAGATCCATAAATACCGTGACAAACACCACAACAGGAAATACCCCTGCAGATAAGTGTGGGATGGACTGCACTGTCTTGTACTTCTACCTGGCCTTGTAGACTCAGGCACTCTTTGGTAGGTTCATTCACTCAGCAAATATTTACTTAACATCTGCTGTACAAGGGTAAAATGCTGTTTCCTTATAGCAGGCACATTGATTTTGAGGTGTGAGTATTAACGTAGAATGCCTGGAGGAATATGGCTGAACATACTATTGAGTGAGTTTTTAAAGCACAACTTTCATTCATTTGAAAGTGACAAGCCGGCTGGGTGAAGTGGCTCATGCCTGCAATCCCAGCTACTCCTGAGATAGAGATTGGGAGGATCAAGGTTTTAGGCCAGCCCTAGCATAAAACTACAGAGACCTCCATCTCAACCAACAAGCCGGGAATGATTGTGCACGGCTATGATTCCAGCTACTGGAAGACATAGCTAGGAGGATTTGCAGTCTGAGGCCCGCCCACAGCCCTCATCTCCCATTCCCTTCTCCCTCCGAAAAAAGGCAAGACCCTATCTGGAAAATAACTAAAAGAGAAAAAAGGACTGTGGGCCTGGGTCAAGTGGTAGAGCACCTACCTAGGAAGGAGGAGGCCCCAGTGAAAATGACACTTTGGCACAGTGGCTACAGTGGATGATTGCTTGAGTCCGTGTGCTCCATACCAACCTCGGCACCATAGCAAGACTTGGTTTCAAAGATAGAAAAGGGGGAGAAAAAGTACGTACAGGCAAGTGGCAATACAAATACTGTGTGTTATAAAAAGTCCATCAGTGTCTCCGAGCTGTGCGCGGAGCTGGGCCTCTGCAGGAAGGGTAGGAAGGGTTGTGAGAGTTGGGCCGTTGAAAGGCCTTTGCAGATTCACTTGGTAGCCGCCAAATCATCTCAGCTAAAACAGCCAGCTCGAGCACTCTGGGTTTCTTCCAGACTTAAGTTGTTTGGTTCCAGCCTAAAACATTTTGTTGCTAATAGCAATTTTACATAGCACCGATGATGCCTGAGAGCAAGAATTTGAGTCTTCAGAATTCCGTGTGTGTAGTCACAAATTTCGGAATGGAATGTTTTAATTCAGTCTCACAGAGGAGTGTTCGTATAAAACCTGGGGGAAAGGGATATTTGGCTTCCCTGATTGAATGCATTATAACACTATTTAAGATGTCATATTATACTTTAGGTTCTAATAAATAACTGTTGTAAAAATTTGTTCCTACAAGGTCTGCACTGATCTATAAATTTTCTTTCTTCTTCTAACAGGCATTGTTTTTTGCTTTTTTCTCTTCTATTTTTCTTTTTTTGCCAGTGATGAGGGTCAAACCCAGAGCCTCAAGTTTGCTAGGCCAGCCCTGAACCACTGAGCTGCATCCCCAACCCTGTTCTTTGTGATCAGTTACACTGATTACCAAAAGCCCCCAGTTAAAAGAAATCATATAAATTCCCTTTACATTTCAATACCTTTTTGTAAATGTAAGAGTCGTGACTTATATTTTTATTTATAGACAGACATCCTAAATCTCCTGTTAGAGTTAAGAATAATCTCCCTCTTTGGGAGATACAAGAATGATTAATAAATCAAGGCTTTATGCCATTCTCTGAGGACCCCAAAAGGTGAGCTAGGAGAGAGCAAAGAGACAGACATACAGCTTGAACTGTGCTGCAGCAGTATTAGATAACACAAATCTAGCCAGCATGGTGTGCCAGGCACTGCTCTTGACATTTTATATGACAGTTTGTGAACTTGTGTGCACAACAGTTTTAGGAGGTATACAGTCCTGTTTCCCCTGTTCAACAGATAAAGAAACCAAAGCCCAGAAAGATTAACACATGCAGGTTCATATTCTTAGCAGGTATTGGGATAAGGGTGTAAACCTAGAGATCTGATTATGCACCCTTGAAATATTACTCCAATGCAAAAAAGAAGTAAGTAGTGATTCAAGATCTGACCTAAGACTGCGGGAACTCTGGAAGGTAGTAGTATAACCCAGTGTAGCGACTGACCTAATGAGGAAAGGTCGGGCAGATTCATAAAGGAAGCAAGCGTTACAGACTGAGTGGTTTTCTAAAAAGTATTGATGAATACTTTACATGGACTAAAATTCAGCTATTTAATGTATTTCCTGTCTAATTTAGGGCATTTTTGTCTCCCCTAAAAGAGGCATTAACAGCCAGCCCCTTCACCTCTGCCCTGAGCAGCCACCCATCTACTGTCTGCCTCTTTACATTTTTGCCTTTTCTGGATGTTTCATGTGCAGGTTGAATATCCAGAAATGCTTGGGACCAGAAGTGTTTCACATTTAAAGGTTTTGCAGATTTTGGAATAGTTGCATATATACAATGAGGTATCTCATTGGAACATGTTGCAAACCTAAGCGTGCAATTTGTTATGTTTTGTATGTACTTTATATACATATAAAACATATATACCTGGATGGTAGTTGTAGTGTTTGTAGTGTGCCTGTGGGTTTTTCTTTTTGTGTTTTGTCTTGTTTTTATTCTGACAGTACTGGGGGTTGAACTTAAGACCTTATACTTGCTAGGCAGGTACTCTACCACTTGAGCCACTTCCCCAGCCTATCTGCCACCTGTGCTGGTGGCACTTATGATCGCCACCTATCGAGTGGTCAGGTGTGTAATTTGGGGTGCTGACACACCCCAACATTTTGAATTTTGGAGCAGTTCTGGTTTCAGATTTCCAGAGGAAGGATTCTCACTCTTCAATGGCATCATCCAGTGTGTGGCCTTTTGTGACTGGCTTCTTTCACAGAGCACTATGTTTTCAAGGTCACCCATGATCAGTACACATCAGTCCTTCATCCCTTGTTTGGGCATTGAGACAGGTGTTGCTACTCAGCTTAGGCTGGTCTGGGAGTCCCTATGTAGCCCAGGCTGACCTTGAACTTGTGATCCTCCAGCCTCTACTTCCCATGTGCTGCCATTACAGGCATCCACCATGCCCAACCCTGTTTGTTTTCCAGTACCATTCCATGTTATGGGTACTGCTCGATGAGTTATTTGTGCACTTATCATTTGATGGCTATTTGAGCTTTTTCCATCTTCTGGCTGTTAGGAATAACGCTGCTATGAGCATTTGTGTACAAGTTGTCACTTGCTCTTATGCCCTCAGTTTTCTTGGATATACCTAATGAAATTGCTGGGTCACAGCTAACTGTGTGATTAATCTTTCAAAAACTGCTGAACTGTTTCCAAAGTGCCTGCACCATCTTCCGTGTCCTTCAGCAGTGTTGAAAGGTTGCAGCTTCTGCACACCCTCACCAGCACTGGCTCGCTCATCTTATTAAGCACAGCCATTGAGGAGGTACAGGAACAGTGTTTAGACAGGAAAAGAGCGGGAGCTGGGGACTGAAGAGGTTGCTGGCATGAAAGCATAATCAGGCCCGGGGGATGGCAAATCGAGGAACACAGAGCAGGGACGGCCTGGGAAGGTAGCATATTGGAGCTCTGCTCCTCGGGTACTTGGACCTGGGGAGCGTCTTGACTAACCTGTGTGGTCAGGTAACTGGCAATAGAAAGGAGGTCAGACCGGGCAGCAGGAGGTTAGGAGCAGAGCAGCTCTTGGGGACCCATTGTGGCCATCCAGGAGAGAGGGCAGACAGGAAGATGGAACTGGTTCCGGTGAGAAAGAAAGGCAGATGAAGTTGAAATTTATTCCAGTTTCTGCACTAGCAGATTGCTAGTGCCAATGACCATAACAGGAATTGCAGCAGGGGAGAATGGAGACTGATTTCATTTAGATTCGTGGCACTTGGGTGTTTAAAGGACGAATGGAGATGTCAGGACAGCAGTCTTCACGCATTCTCAGTCACATGTGCCTCCTCAGAGTCTTGGAAATCGCTGTAGCACTTGCGCATTTTCTATGGATGAATTGGATCAGTTCATACTTCTTGCTTTTATAGCTGTGACTGTTGAGAAGTGTTGCCCACATAAACACGTAGGGGAATGAAAGGCATTTTATTATAGCAGTCACACTTAGATGAGTTCCTTCTGAAGTATATGCCAGTTACCTCATGATCTGTCACCAAAATTATCTTTAATGATCTGTCAACTGACATCTCAATTAGGTCCTCCAAATTTTGTGGCAGGCGAAGAATTGGAAACTATTTGATACAAGTTTTTTTCTTTTCTTTTTTTTTTGGTGGTATTGGGGTTTGAACTCAGGACGTCAAACTTTCTAGGCAGGTGCTCTACCGTTTGAACCATTCAGCCAGCCCTAAAATTGGAAACTATTTGTCTGGCAAAATAAGAAATATCATTTGTTATTCGCTTTACCTTTTCTGGGAAATACACCCTAAAAAAAGCTTCACCAGGATTTCACTAATGACGATCAAGTGTTCTTCCTGCTCTTTCTGCAAGAACCCTCTTCCCTCTGTCCAGTCTGTGTAGAAGAGCTGGGGAAGTTGAGGTTCTCTTTCTTTCATGCACCTTTCAGAATGTTGTTTTGGGGAGATGCTTTAAGATATAATTTTGTCAAAACTTTGGCTGTAGACTAGCTCTTTATTGAGATCTATATTACTCACACACCATAAAACTCACCCATTGATAAGCTGTAGTTTAGTGGGGCTTTTTGGTATTTTCACAGAATTGTACACCCACCCCACACCTAAGTTTAAAACACTTTCATCACCCCCAAAAAGAAATCTAGGGCTCAGTAGCACCCACTCCCCATTTTCCTTCCAAATTTGTGCTTGGTTTCTTTATCTGAGCACAGAGTTCTCAAGGATCATCCACTTTGTTTGTTTGTTTGTTTGTTTGTTTGTGGTACTGGGATTTTGAACCCAGGGTTTCACGCTTGCTAGGCAGGCGCTCTACGACTTTAGCCACTCCACCAGCCATTTTTTGTGATGGATTTTTTTCAAAATAGGGTCTCTCAAACTATTTGCCCAGGACTGGCTTCAAACCACCTGATCTTTGCCTCTCAATTAGCTAGGATTATAGGTGTTAGCCACCTGCACCCTGCTGTTTGTTTGTTTTGAGATTTTGTTTTGTTTTGTTTGATTTTGGTGCTGGATGTCAACCTTTAGCAGAATGAATGCTAGATAAGTGAACCCCCCCCCCATACTGTGGGCTGAGTAATATTACTTTGTGTGGCTGTTCCCCACTTTAATTACCCATCCATTATGGGGAACAGTATCTAATTAGATATTTTGTAATTTCCAACAGGGAAAAGTAAAATTTGTTACATGTAATAAGGTCTGAGGCTCTTTTACTTTTCTTTTATGACAAGTTGTGTGAAGATTGCTCTTAAGTAGTGGCCCATAGCGCTTTTGCGACAGAGATGCTTATTTGTCCTGGTTTTATGGATTTGTGATCTGTAAGTTCATGTTCTAGTGTCGTGGTGTTTTATTATCCTTACTAAAAAGTAACTTATTTACTACTAAATAGCTCTAAGCTTTTCCCAATTGAGTCATGAATCAAAAACCTTTCAGCTTATGTTCCAGATGTTTTAATAACGGTTTAATTGAGGTAGAAAATGCATACAGTTCACAAACTGAAAGTGTTATGGTTTATTCAGAGTTGTACACCCATCACCAGGCTAAGAACATTTAACACCCCTTCCCCATTAGCAGGCCAGTCTCCTTCCTCCTTTCTCCCAGCCTTCCAGCTTTCTCCACCATCTTCCCCTCTCCCAGCCTTCCAGCTTTCTCCACCGTCTTCCCCTCTCCCAGCCTTCCAGCTTTCTCCACCGTCTCCCCTCTCCCAGCCTTCCAGCTTTCTCCACCGTCTCCCCTCTCCCAGCCTTCCAGCTTTCTCCACCGTCTTGGTATTGATTTGCCCATTTGGATGTCTCATAAGCAGTTATTGTGGGTGTGATCTTTGAAGGTTTACTGCTTTTACTCAGCATAATGTTTTCAGTGTTTGTGGCTGAATAGTGTTCCATTTTGTAGTCACTTCACATTCTCTTTCTGCTCATCCGTAATGGTTATTAGGATCACTTTCATTTCCTGGCCTTCTGAACATGGGTGTACAGGTTTTTGTGTGGACACATTTTCATTTCTTTTGGCTATATGTCCAGGAGTGCAGTAATTGGACTGAGCTGGTGCATAACTCGAGGTAGAGTGCCTGCCTAGCCAGTGAAAGGCCCTGAGTTCAAACCCCAATACGGCACCCCCCCTCCAAAAAAAAAAAAAAAGAAGAAGAAAGAACAGCCAGGGTGCGTTCCAGTGCTGCTAAACCATTTGGCCTGGCCCCCCATGGGGTGGGAAGTTCTGGTTTATCCATGTCCTTCCCAGCACTTGTTTTCTTTTTTGACCCAAAACATTTGTTTGTTTGTTTTTAATGAGTAAGACACTTTTCTCAAAGTGTAGTTTCAGTGGGGAAAGCCATGAGGCATTCTCATGCACCAGTATTCCTATCAGCGAGACTCACACCCCATAGCCAACTTAAGCCTGGATTAGTGCAAATAATTTTGGGACTGTGGTTTCTTTGCTGTAGCAGTGATTGTAAGTGACACCTGAGAATGATCAAAGTAGCCTGTGGAGGGCGGGGCGGGGTAGGGTAGCTCGGTGGTAGAGCATGTGCGAACCCTTGAGACCAATCCCTAGCACACACCCCAAAAAATCCATGGATGTGTTTACCGCTTGAAACACACAGAATTCTGTGTAACGTGTAAACAATACCATAAGAGAACAGGCTTTGAGGTTTTTTCCCCTCTAGTGCCCAGGCCCCAAACTCCTCAGCTCGTGATTCTCCTGCCTTGGCCTCCTCAGTAGCTGGGCCTGTCCCTAAGCCTGGCTTTGCATGGTAAATGATAGTGTCACCAGACAGTAATGCATCCAGTGGTGAGAATTCTCTTCACTCTCTCTACCTTATGCTCATGAGGTCTGAAATCAGAACTCTCAGTAATGCATCCAGTGGTGAGAATTCTCTTCACTCTCTCTACCTTATGCTCATGAGGTCTGAAATCAGAACTCTCAGTAATGCATCCAGTGGTGAGAATTCTCTTCACTCTCTCTACCTTATGCTCATGAGGTCTGAAATCAGAACTCTCAGTAAAGGCCAAAACTCTTTGTTCCCAGTGTTGTTCTTCACCCTTAACAGAAATTGGTGAAAACAAAACCATGAAGTCTTGTCAGGCGCCAGTGACTCGCAGCTATGTTCCTTGCTACTGAGGATCTGGGGGAATCGAGGTTTGAGGCGAACCCAGGCAAGTAGAGAGACTCCATCTCCCAAATAACCACAGCAAATGGACTGGAGGTGTGGCTCAAGCGGAAGAGCCCCTGTTTGCAAACTTGAAGCCCTGAGTTCAAACCCCAGTCCTGCCAAAAAAATAGTTAATAAATACATATATTAAGCCCTACCAAAGGTTTCTGTTGCTTTGATTAAAGAATAAGGAAATGTCTCCTGCACCCATGCTATATTTCAGTTTGCTTTGTTTGATGTCTGGATGTTTTTATCCTGGAACAATTCAGAATGGGTGAAAAGTAGGGTTGGTTTATTGGTTAGTTTATTTGTATTGGGGAAAAAAAGCAAAGACTGGGAAAGAAGTGACCAGTAAGATGTCTGGGCTCTGGGGCCATCCTCAGTCCAGTCTTAGTAAAAAGTACATGTCAAAATTGAACAGTCTACACTGAGGGTGAGTCAGGGCCAGTGGGGTGATGTGTGTGTGGTTTAAAGCAGTGAGTGTTGCATCAGGAGACAGGAGACAGCAGGCATTTGAGTTCTCAGAGGAGGAGGAAGCAGAGGCAAAGAGAAGGAGAGAGAGAGGTCAGATGTGAGGGGCGCCCCTGGAATGAACCATCGAGAGAGCCCATACAGGGTGTTCCGTAAGGCCAGCCAGCAGTGTGGCGGGGGGCTGGGAGGGGTGGTGTGGACAGAGAAGGTCCTGCAGATACCACACACTGGGAGAAGCACCACAGAACGGAATGGTGAAGTGGTAATAAGGGTCTGTGGGTGTAGCTTTCAATGGTAGAGTTTCTTGTTTTTGCAGTACTGGGATTTGAACTTCACTTGGTTTTCTTAATTATTTAAGTCATTTTTAGGCACCTCTGCATTGAATCAATGTCATCTTAGAGACTGAGCTCCTGGCTTGCCTTGTCTTTTCTACCTGTGCCTTCTGCAGTTCTAACACTTCAGTGTCTAGTGGTATAGGCTTTTCCCTCCTTATCACCATTTCACTATTTCACCATTCTGTGGGGTTTTTTGATGGTGCTTGGGTTTGAACTCATGGTCTCACACTTGCTAGGCAGGTGCTCTGCCATTTGAACCACACTGCCAGGCCTTTTTTGTGTTGAATATTTTCAAAATACAGTCTCAAGAACTGTTTGCCTTGGCTGGCTTTAAACCTTGATTCTTCTGATCTCTGCCTCCAGAGTAGCTGGGATTATAGTCATGAGTCACCTGCACTCGACTATATCACCATTCTTGTCTTTAACTCTTAACCCAACATCTACTTCAGCATTCCATATGTAAGTTTCCAGTGATAATATTCAGCTTACAACCACTTGATAATTAGGTTTGCGTTGTGGAAAGTGAGTATTTAATTTTGAAGATGGCTGCCTCAGTTTGGGCTGCTGTAACAGAATACCATAGACTGGGTGACTTAAACAACAGAAATTGATTTCTCATGGGTCTGGATGCTACAAAAACAAGATCAAGGTGCCAGCACGTCCCTCGTCTGGTGAGGTCTCTCTTCTGGTTTGTAGCCAGTGATAGTCCCACGGTGGTCACACATACAGAAGGGGACAGGGTCAGCAAAATCTGTACTGATTTTTTAAGGGCACTAATCTCACTCATGATACGTCGTCTTGACCTAACCACCTCCCAAGGGCCCTACCATCCAGTGTCATAGAATTGGGGACTAGGATTTGTGGGGGCTTATCCAGTCAAGGCAATGGCTCGAGCTGTATTTTCTCCTAACTAAAGTTTATGTTTGGAACTCTTAGGTTTAGCATGAGCTTCAACAGACATAATCTGAAATACTATGTATTACCGAAGAAGCCTAAGAAGGTGGCATTTGATTGCTCAGAGTGGATCCGAAAGCATCACCCATGTGAGTACAAG